TCTTGGTGGCAGTGCCGGAGCAACATCGAAACACAATGGCTGCACCCAAACAAAGACTGGGCACATGCATGCAACCTCGCGCACCAATGCACCAGTCACTGCAAGAAAACAGACCACACGTGAGCAAACGTTACATTTCTATACATTTCTGAGGGTCACAATTGACAGAGTTTGGTTTAGTACCTTTGAAGAGGTTCACCATGGACAACCCTCCCGGTCTCCATTGGGGACCTCTTAGTCCAGGCTCCTTAAAAGCATGTTCAATCATTCTTCTGACCAATTAGGTCTTCCGTTGAAGAATCGCACAGATGTTCAAACAACATGTCGAGTCGTGTCATGCTGATGTGAAGAGAAACCTATGGCACCATGAAACAAAAAGCAGCCAAACCGCTATAGAGGTTTCTAAGTGCTACAGTCACCTAAACTCCAAAAGCACTCCAACGCACGACTCGCACGACGACCTCTTTCTCCACTCCAAACGCCACGAGTGACTCGGAGCTAACCTTTCATTAACGAGGCGAGGCTCAGGGCCACCGCCCGTCACCACCGGTCCCGACACCGCCGGTGACATGATCCTGGGACAACATAGAACGGAACTTTCTGCCTCTTCATGTTTGGTTCAAATCCTTTAGACATCTTTAGACAAAAGGATACAAAAGGTTGTCCATGGTTATCCACTGACTGGGTAGGTTCTTTTTCAGGCCCAAAATCGGCCAAGGAGAGGGGCTCATCAAGGTCGTCCATCCGCTTGACAGAGGCTGTCACCGCGACCCGCGTCGGCTAGACAGCCGACGCAGGAGGGTCCAGTACGATGTTCGATCGAAGGCTCTCGTGACGGTCAGCTGCGAACGCGAAGGGAATGTTCCAAGTTTACATTCCCAATGCGAGTCGTACCGAACCTAAGGTTAGGTGAGGACGGAGACACTGTGATGTAATGTATATAGGTTTCGAGGGTCCAGTCGTACCAAACCTGAGGTTCGGTATGACTGGATCGGTAGGGATTCATCATCTGCAAAGGTGAGATTGAAGGGAGCTCTGGCGGGAAGCTCTGGCGAGAAGTGGCATGATCCCGCAAAGCTGCGGACATGAAGGTCGGCTATTCACGACGATTCCTCCTACCTAATCCTACCTGGGTCCTCTGCCTGGGTCGCCAGAGGTAAACGTGCCACACCTGAGATCTGGAGAGATGCAGCATGAGCCACTTGGATACTAAATGTGTGCCTTGCCTTGAGTCATGGAACACAAACTTTTCCTCAATCATGGAAGCGGAACTTAGGCTCGTGGAAGACCCTCCTTCTCTACAAAAGGCTTCGGCTCAGCTTCCATGATGGTCTTTTCAGGTGTTTGACCCATTCACAAACTTTCAGACCATGTAAACGAATGTAAACGAATCATCAGAACCTCTCCCAGTTTGTTGCAGGTGTTTGCCACCTTGGTCGGGTCGTCTTCTGCCTGTCTTTGAGGCGAAAAGCGGCTCCTGTGGTCCCGGTCCGTCCTCCTGCCTAGCGCTCTCATCCCAAGGTCTTCTTGGAACGAATGGGGGCGCTGTGGTGGTGACTTGCCTGGACTTCTCCACGGGCAGCCCAAAGACTCCAGGGGAAAAAGGCGTAAATACCGATCGTTGCTGGACATGTGCCAATGTGGAAGGTGTGGTGCAAGCTATTTTTTCATCTAAAAAGATCGTACTAGTACAACCTGTTGTTCCCTTGTGCTGGTATATGGGTGCTTCTCTGTATCTTTGTAGAAGATCTGGAGGCTGACAGGGATCCCTAGCCAACGAACAAAAGAACATTCATCCTGCTAGCAGTTGTATTCCTTAAAGGCTCGGCTCGCATGTCTTCAGTTCCTTCCCTTCCCCGAAGCGTACCCAAGCTCTCCCAGGCATCTCAACACAGGATTCCACACGATTTCGACATCGATGGTCATCGATGGTCTTGGGTTTTCACTACTGTTACATGTAGTCTGGTGTCACTTGCATCAACTTGCTGTTGATATCGTCCCGGTCTAGAGCTGATCGATCTGACGAAACATGAAGAAGGACACCTCTTGCTCGCCGAAACCCCTCTCTTTGTCTACGACGGTTTCGGATGACGCATTGTGCGCACTGGGCCCGAATTCTCCAACGACCTGTGCCAACTGGAAACGAAGCACAATAAATCCAAATGTCCTGCTTCAAGAATCTTTGACACATGTGAATATTGTCTTCAAACTCTTAACTTGATCTCTGAGCGCTTTCTTAAGGTGAAGCCCAAATCTCTCCACTCAGCCCACAGCTCACGACTTTCACTCGCAGAAAACCAACCTGGCACGACTCTGCCGTGAAAACGCTTACAACATCCAAGCAACATGTAGTTATTTGCATATTAATATTGACACCCAAAAAAGAAGCCCCAAAAAGCCCCTCACTCACCAAATCCACAACTCCTTCCAGCCGGCAGCCGCTTGTTTCTACAGCACGATCGACTTCCGTCATCGGCCGGCTCTTGATAGAGAGACCGAACCGCCGGCGTTCCGACCCCCTGGAAGAAGGGAAATAGACCCAACTCCCCTTGGGCCAGGGGCCTCCCCATAAAGTTATTACACACCCATACTCTTTTCAGACCCCCTTCTTGAGCCGTTGGGTGACGTGACCCAGGGCACTGCGGTGCCAAACTTTGCCGTTCAACGCGACGCCGTGGCCGGAAAGAGTGACCACTTGACAGTCGATTCGACGTCAGTCTCAGTAGATGTCATGTGGACTGTTGATGAACAACACACCCAGATGAAGACAGTTGAAGATATCAAACCATTCTGGTACGATCTGGTACGGGTGTTCTGTTCATCTAGAGTCTACATACTTGTTGTCGCCGAAAGATATCAGTTTAAAGAGGGTTGATGTCAGCTCCAGCTTGAGATCCTCTTCATTTTCCGGAGTCGGCCGACCTCGCCTCGCCTCAGGTGTAGTGCGGCTCACTCATCTCCGAGGCCTCCAACGGCAGGGCGACGATTCGGCAGGTGCTTTTCAGTCTTCCAGTTGCGATGTCTTTCGGGGGAAGAAGGATGGGTTGGCGTATCCCTAGGGCTCCTGGCCCACATTTTGTGGCACCAAGCACCGAAACAGAGCTGCCATGAGTTGTGCAACACACCATGAGGGTGGTGACCGGGTGCGTTCAGTTCAAGTGACTCAGGGCTGTGCTGCTCGGTCCAGACGTGCTGTGCGTGCTGGGAACCTGCGTGGGGGCCTTTGGGAGGAGAACTCCCTGGGATTATACAGAATTGAAGCCGAACACCAAGGTACACCCCATGGAATCATCCTGGGGCGTCGTGGAGTGAGTGGTTTTACCACCTGTTTGGTATTGGGATGTATTGGGATTTCATGGTCATCCGAACTTGGGGCTATTTTCTCATCCACCTCACCATGACGATTCCAAGGTCGCTGGAATCTCTGAGCCGAAAACCTCGCGTCGCCCCTCCGACCGGTCTCAGGTTCCCCACCTTGCTTTCGCCCAGCTTGTTTAAGGCGGCAATCTGGAAACGGTATTCGCCTGAGGTCCAACACGGCTTTCGCTCGCTGCATCATCCCGCGCTTTCGCTGGCTTTCGCTCGTGCCACCCCCCTAAAATCGATGAAAAAGGAACCCCTTCCAGTGTTGAAGCCTTCTTCGATATTCTCCACAACGAAACCTCCTGGGTCATTCCGAATGGCCACACGTGCACCCGCACGCTTGCCGCGGTGTTCGTCCCAGTCACAAGCGCCCGCTTCCAGAGGCCCGACCCAAGCATTGTACATGGCCGCATCACCTGTGCGTGGGTGAAGCCGCGCCTCTCATCCACCCGCCCCTGTTTGTTTCATTCAAGAGACCCATGTCTTTTGATCTCTAGAATTTTCACCCACCCAAAACTTTTAGGCCTTGGTGACTCCATTGGAAGCAGTATGTTTTATAGTTTGAAATGTTTGAAATACTCGTGAGCAAGTTGTTCCAAAGGCTCTCACTTGAGCCAAGTAAAATCTGAGTCCTGCACATGTTGACAGTCAGGGCCGTCAGGGCAAACAATTCCAAGCATGGGGGTTCAGTCAGCTAATCGTCGGCAGTGGGAACTTTTGTGGTGCATCACCTGCTGGTGTCTTGCTCTATCTCATCGGTCAAGGCTCGAGCCCGGCCCCAAGAGTGACATCAGTGTCTGACTCCCATCCGTGGTGGGGCACCTGCGGCAGCCACTGACCCCATTTCCACCCAGGAGGCAGCGGCTTCACCCGGGCCGAAGGGGTTCCAACCTGCGGCAGCGGAGCTCTTCGATGCTGGCTTTGGAAGGCCAGCATAAGACTGTGGACTGAGACGATTGAGAAGAAAAAATAAACCTGACCCCCTGATGTCAAAACCTCTTCACAAAGGGATTTTTTATATATAATCCAGAGTCCAGAGTCTACGTTTTGTGGATATATGTGGTTCCGTTGCACTTCCTCAATTCGGCGTTCCGATCCCCTTGGAAGAAGGACAAAAACCGGCATCAAATCTCCTTGGGCCAGGGGGTCTCCCATTGGGCCAGGGGGTCTTCCCTTGGGCCAGGGGGTCCCCATGCGTTGTTTTCGATTTCTTGTGTACGTCAAGCCAGGTGGATCTGCCAAGCCGGGCCCGAAAGCACCGATGCTGAGCAACCGGCCGGGGGGGATGGCCTTTTGCAACCTGTTCAGTGAATGGTCCCCATGTTTGTCATCAAGTTGGTGACAAGTCACAACCTGCGATCCCTGGGGATCGCGATGAAATCCCACGAAAAATCCCTGGAATCATCATGGAATGGAAGTGGATGGACCACCACCAGTTTGGTATGCAAATTTCATGGTCATCCTTGCTGTGCCGTACCATTCACTTCCTCAGATTGAACTTGGGACCTGAAAATGGACCGAAGAGTGGCTTCTTCCACGAACCAGTTGTTTTTCCATGTGGGTCTCTTCCAGGGCGTACTTCCACAAAGACAACTCCCTCCAGTCTTCCCTTGTCGCTGCCAGGTGGCGTGATGCACCTAGAATCTTCCGCATGCGGATCCTGCACGTTTCAGAACAGAGAGAGGTCTGGTGTCACCCCACAGGTCTGGTGGCTTTTTCATGCCAAAGATCATAGGAACCTGCATCCAAACATCCAGACTTCATGAAATCGAACATATACAAATACCTGTCAATTTTTAGTGGAATTCTGAAAACGAATCCGTTGGGCAATGCCAAAAGCGCCAATAATTTCTCTTGAGATTCATTGGCTGCTCTGAGTCATTCTCCGTGAGTATGTCCAGTGCAGCAGCAACAGTCGGTGTCTCGCAGCGAGACACCACTGCAAAGTAGAACTCCATTGACATTGGCTTCCCCACAGCCACATACTCTCGAATTCTGGGTCAATGCTTCGGGGTTCAATCCGACGATGGAAAGCTCGATGGTGAAGCCCCAAACTTTGTAGACATTCTGCAGTAGACATTTCCTTGAACTCAATTGAAGCAGGATTTCACCATGGTGTGATGTCCAAACCAACCAACTACAGCTCAAGCGTGAGTGGCGCATAGGGGGTACTCCCATTTGCACTCTGAAATGCTGCTTAAAGCCGAGTTTATAACAAATCCCCTTCTCCCTAGACTTGGCAAAATGTGTTATTAATTCCAAGAGTCACCCCCAAACTTTGAGCGACCGATCAGCTGGTGACCAAATCACATGGGGGTTGTAGAGCGCCAGTCCTGTAGGCGGTGATGGGCATCCTTGGCAAACGAACGCCAGGAAATATACCCTCTTTTTTTTGTTCGACCATTTAACAGATGTTGACAATGGTCTGAAAAGTAACATCTTTAGTAAAACAATGGTTGTTAGTTCTGAAAGAACCATCCAATTGTTGCTGGAATCCCAGGGTATATGTATATACTTACTGGAGTTCAAGCAGCTAAGTGCGTGACAATCACACTTGTCATACCAGAAAGTCAGCGGCAGGTGTTCTGCATTTTCCCACTGAGATTGAACGATCCCACCCATCCAGGTGGGAACCAACCTGGAGACCCTGCTGATACACCAAGGCTATCTAGGAAACCTAAAGCTTCCAGAACTTAGTGAGGCACCTGGCGCTTGGAAGTCCTTGCACAGCAGACCTGCCATCCTTCACCGAGCATTTCAAAAACTCCTTGAGCCCATTTGAGCCCAAAAAAGAAGGCACATGCTGCAGGTGCCCCTGCTGTACCGTTTCAGGGGCATGATTTGGGGCTCTGCGATCTACTCTCAAGCAACTGCATGGTACCCTCCGAGGGCCTCCACTCCAAATGGATCCAAATGGTTGTTTAAACCTTTGGGGCGGCCCTGACAAGCATCTAAGATAAAAATAATCTATCATCTACCTGCATCTACCTGAAACAAATCCAAGGACGGAGCATGTTATGCTATGTTCACTGTAGTATCACCCTGTTTCCTCCCTCTAAAGCCTTTCAGCGGCGCCCAACTCCGTTTCGTGGCAGCTTTCCTTGAAGACCGCCAAGGCACCCGCCATCATTCTCAGGCGAACTCCAGGCCACGTTCAAACAGCCATCTCTGGCTTCCTGCCAAGGCACCCTTCGTTGAGCTTGGGATGGGGATTGAAGCGGGCGATGGGCCGTGGAGGAAAACAACTAGGGACTATTTTGCAAAGAAGAGTGGCCTGGTTTGAGTGATGGAAACTGGGGCACCTACCCAACAAACAAGAGAGTGGATGTCGGTAGGGATTTGAATTTTGCCTTTCAAAGGCTTAAAACGATTGTATGTTTACAATATTTTACAGTTCTTTATGTATGCAATGGGCTCAAACACACAGTAAAACGCACTTGTTTGTTGGAAATCACTTGGGATCAAAAGACATTTAAAGGAAATCATTAGAAGGAAAAAGGATCTTACAAGGGAATTATATAATAGGAATCAACGTAATTATTGAATTCAACAGTAAAATCAACATATAAATAATGAACAATTAACAACATAGACATTATTGCACGTCGTGATATTAATAGTAGCAACATCATACCAGAGCAAACGTGCAAACAATATTTGAGGATGTACTACTTAAACATGGAAAAAACGCAAACATTACACCAGGGGGTGCTACTTTTAACGCCAAGAAGGGATAACATTATTATTGCGGGTTATCGCATTCAAGGATTCTAGAGCTCTGGGCTACCTTCTTTTAAAGGACAGTCAATAGGAAGTAAACAGAATGTACAAAGAATTCAGAAGGGTTTTGAAGGAATTTAAGAGGAACTCAAATGAATGAACAGGAACTAAAAAGGAACACAATCAGAACCAAAAAGGAATTTAAAAGGGTAGGTATCAAACAAATCAAAAGGAAACCAACAAGAATCAAAAGAAACACAAGTAACTTAAAGGAAAATCACGTGGAATCAAACGGAATTTGAAAGGACACATAATTTCAAACCAAATGGTTTCAAAAGGAAATCAACAAAAAGCAAAAGGAATTCTAACAGAATATAAAAAGATATCAATAGAGCACCCAAGAAAGTTTAAATGTTAAGGAGCCTTTTGGCGGGGGGCTTCAAAGAGTAGTATTAAAAAATAACAACAACGACAACGACAACGACAACAACAACAACACATTAAACATCTAAACAAAATAAAGCAATATTCGACGTTTCTGGAGGGTTGGCACCAAAGAGTCTCAGAACATGTTGTTTATGGTTTCTTTGTGCTTTTTTTGTGTGTGTTGTTTGTTGTTCTTTAGTTATTGTGTTTTCTTTCCAAACAATATATATATATTTACAAGTTGTGATGTGTTTTTTTTTAAATATATATAATAGAGTGATGTTTTGAAAGATTGATTTGTTGTTGCCTTATAACACATCTCTAGGCCCATAAGGCCCTTGGTTTCTCACCACTTCTCAATACTTCGCGATGATTCACTGCCTTCGACTCGGTCCGCTCCGCATTCCGTCGGCGATCGACCGATCGACTCCGTCTCTCGGTCTCCTCGATCCAGGGCTTTCCAGGTGGATCGGGCGTGACCGGGGCAGTGGTGATCCTCAGAGGCGACCGCGAAAAGGGCCGAAAGCGAAATGGGCGACGCGTGGGCTGGCTCTGTGATTGCGCCCTGTGTTCCGTCTGTAGTGGACTGGCTGCTGTCTGTGGTGCGTGGATGCTGATGTCGAAAAGCCTTGGATCGAGTAGTGAAGCTTATACTTTTGGTGGAATATCATCAGTCATGTAATCACAAAAATGGCCAGGGCTACGAAGATAACGTCCCTCGTCACAAAATATCTTCAACGAAGCGAAACGAAGCGCCGAAGTGCCACATTAGAATTCCACCCGTCACTGAATGATTTGTCGAACACTTGACCACGAAAATGCTGTGAAGATCATTCATCCACCCAGACCTGGCCAAAGTATTCTACCCAAAACATGTGTCTTTGGTGGCTGTTCTTTGATGTCTAGAGCCTAGTGAGTCTAGTCTTGCATCGTCTTCTTTCTAACTCAGTTTGGTGAGCAAAAAACGCAAAGAAGAACTCCCAGCTGCGGCCGGCTCTTCACCAACAGAAGTTGTCCCTTCGCTCAGTGGCTGATATTCATAGGCATCACCATAACCCACCTGCATGAGAACGAAGCGAGCATCGAGGCGCACAAAAAGATCGGCGCCCCTCACGGACCCTTCATGTCCAAAGGGTTGGAAACGGGTCACGTGTCATGACTGACATGATACACTCCTGGCTAGTAACAAGCACGCACATGTACAAGGTGTCGCAGCAAATGAAGTAGGTGAGAACTAAAAGGGTCGGCAACACCAATTGAGTGGAACATAGTGGAGCAATCATATTTACCATAGAACATAGTGGCTCGGTGAACATCGAGAAAGATATGAAAACAACTAAGACTAGAAACCTTCTTGACAAAGCCATCATCCATTCGAACTTCCGGGCTGGAATATGCGATCCATCCTGCTCTTTTGATTCTTACTCATGGAGAAAAAAATAAGAAACTATTGCACCTATAGCGTCCTATATCCACCCTCCCAATCCGCAAAATTTGAATATGTTGCTACAGCGCTACAGCAGGGAAGAAAACCACACAGATTTGCACAAACTTACAGACCTTGTTCACGGCCCTGATGTCCAGCAGGTAGGCGGTGTTGCCTTTCAGATTGGCCACCACATACCTCCGGCATGAAACACAATGAACTACAGCCGATGGTGCCTGGCTACAGATGCTGTCAGGAAAAAATCGTATGACATATCACCTTCACTGGTGAAAAAAAGCCCTTGAACATCCTTGCAAGGTCCAAGTGGGCACATCTCAATGTACTGTACTATTTCTTGCAGTGGTTTCAGAGGTTCGATGGCACCCAGTGCCACACCCACAGCGCCGCACTCAGTGTCCCCAAGATGTCTTTCGGGGTCCAGATTTATCACAAAAAATGGGGCATTGTGCCATCTACTCTAAAGCCAGTGCAAATGATACCAGTAACGCCAAGCTGCACCGGATTCTTGCCACTGGTGCACTCACACAAGGTGTACCACTGTGGAGGCTCCTCCGCTGGGCAAACCGGGCTGAATCGATGGGAGCCAGCAGCAGCCCACAAGGAATTGAATGTCCTTCGGTGACTCGATCTGCCTAAACACCTCATCTACGGTGTAACTATAATACCGTACCGTACCTGCTTTTTCATGCACAGATCGACAGTACGTACATTGAGTTTTGGATGCAGGGGGGTGCATATATTTTATATATCCAGTACATACCTACATGGACCCCTTTTCAACCATCCAACTGATCGGCAAATATGCCAGTCCGGATGGTCAGGAATTGGTGACCATCCGATTCAATGAAATCGGATCTGAAGAGGCTTGGACCTCCACGCAGCCAGCAGGTCAAACACCCGCAGCCGTGTGGTCGGATCTGAGGATCCACAAAAAAACTTTCTCTCAGCCGATGTTTCCCCCGTGTCTTAGAGAACGACTGGTCATTACAGTCTATGACCTGGACTCTGTGGAGACGAACAGCAAATGTTTGGAGGTTGAGTCTACCAACTAGTAGGCCCTATTCACATCTCTCACAAGAAACTTTGGTGATCTCTTTCTTGGTACTTCCTTGAGGCTTTATTTGAATCTCCAGTTTAATCTCGGGTATATTCTAGTCAACCATCATCGTCCCATCCAACCTTAGAAGAATGGAGCTTCAAGGCGAGGCACGTTAGGCTTGGGATCCAGTAGGATAGAGATCCGATATCCAATCACCTGCGCCCCATGGTCATTCCTGGGCAGCTTCGCCGAGGCTTGGCCGAGAGAAGGAACTCTTCAAGTGAAGCCGATCGGGCATGGCAAGCCCTCTGAAAATGGAGTCGATTCGTGTGGTTTTAGAGTAAATGGCACTGGCATCCAAGATGTCTTTGAGATGGGGGTCTGTAAGCCACCTGTGGCGGATTGTGTCATCTGAAACCACTGTAATTGGATGAACGCAGGGCTGATGTGGCTGAGGTCTTTGGTCTATGCCCAAAACTCTGGCCAAGGGGTTGTCTAAAAGCTGACCTGGGGCTGGCGAGTGTGGCTAGCTTGTCCTTCTGTTGAGAGTCTTCTTGGCTGGTTCACTTTCCTGGAAGCATGGAATGAAGGCTTGTACATCGGGAAAGCACATGTTCCAACAACTTGTTCCTCAAACCTCAAATCATCAAACTGTTCAAAGAACTTGTTCCTCGAACCTGTACAATCAAAAATGACAAAACACATACGACCTCCGGGCTCTGTGGTCCAGGCGATGAAAAGCAACATACGGTGTCGATCCTTGATGATTGGACAAACAACTGCCATGAATGATAAGGTTGTAGAATGTCCTATAAACATACAAAACAACTTAACCTATACACAAATATTATATTCTATATATTTATATATACATCATAGTATATTGGAATTGTAAAATATTGTATACATATAGTATATATATATATATATTAATTATATACCTGAAGCAAGTTGCTGGTTCTTTCAACTTTCAGCATACGGTCATTCAGTACGGAGCAGGAATCAGCAGCTCACTTGCGACAATCATCTTCAACAAGCTCGTTTTCATGCGATCAGGAAATACACTGCCCAGGACGTGTCATCAACTGTGACGGTTCAACTCTACCGCTGCAAATCCATACATGCAAACCCTTCAGCCATTTTGCGTAAGATTTGGTCAACACATTTCTAGACTCAACCTGCCCACCTCTCACTGTGACCAGTCGCTTTGGCGGCGCCCATCGCACCGTGACCTCCGTCTGCTGTACATCCGCCACGTGTGGCTCTTCAATGGCAGCGGGCGTCGTGCAGGCATGATACCTCTCCGCGCGTGCGGCCGCGGTGGCCCTGTCTGGGCGCTGGGATTCAAGGTGGAAGGACCCCGCAGACCTTCATCTGAGCAAATCATCACTTTCCACATCTGTCCGATCTTTCCCAACTTGTGACGCTGTTCAGAAAGTGGCGCTGTGTTCAAATGATTTACTAGAACAGCGCGTGGCCGTGGTCCAAGATGTGCATGGTCGTCACCCTCCATGGCCGTGAGTCCAGCAACCCCTACTCACATCGACAATGGCAAAAAGGCTATTTCAGAGCCCTCAGGGCGGCTCGTATCGCAAGGGTCTGAGGCGTCCCAGGACACTCTCCTGAAAAACACCGCGGCGCGACAAGAACCGCGTCAACGCGTCCGAGGAAGCGTTCAAACCGATCCAATTTCATACGGCCTCAAGCGCATCTCAGCCACCCGATGACCTGGTGATGACTTTCTCATGGGATCGGTGAGTGGAGCTTTGGTAAACATGCTCATGTAGAGTTGAGGTGGCTTGGGGAGTTAACCTATATACAAAGTCAAACCATCCTGGAGCCCGGTGGTTGGTTGCTGTGCATGCAACAAATGAAAGGAGAGTGGACACTGACTTCCCCCACCGACGCAGGATTGCTACCGAAGTCCTAGACACCTTAGGAATCCTTGGGGTCATGTCTCTTTCAGGGTGTACTTTGAAGGGTGCAAACTCAACAAAGCCACATCAAGCGAGCGGGATCATGCAGTAGGCAGGGGGTGGGAAGGGGGGAGAAGTCCCTGCAGCTCCCGAGCAACAGCATGCAACAGCTAGACAAACTAGGTGGATGTTGGATTTTAGATGTTCGGTGGCACCTGCCACACATGCCACACCTATCCATCCATCCCTTCACAAGCTGTGCCTTCCAAAATGTCGAAGATGCCCCAAGTGGTGGTCTTCCGTTGCAGTTTGAACTCTTGCAAGGGCGCCAGTGCACGCCTGGGTGCTTCAATTTGTGTTTTTCAGGCATCATATTAGTTGACACATGAGACAACACTTGGGACCCGAGCATGACATCTCTAATGTGCAAGCACAGGACGTCTAGCTGTTTGGCCCACATGCCTGATATCAATGTGCTGCTGATCATGCTTATCTGGCTTAGCTGTTCCGTGTCTCTGCTTTCGTCTCTGACAGACGCAAGGATACGACGTCAACGAAAGATTTCTATGAAACAGCTGCTGGTGGATGCTTTTCTCGGTTCAGTGGAAGTCTGGTCATGTGGTCAATGCGGTCATGCCGTTACACTCTGACTCACTAACATGGAAGTGGAAAACCACGTGTTTGTAGAGGAAAGTAGTCTTCCAAGTGACCATTGTCCACTTCCATGTTAGTGAGTCAGAGTGTACTTGTGTCGACTGGTTCTGAGATCTTCTTTCCATGTCTCCCTCTTTTCTTGCCCAAGGTGCCCCACAAGGGTGGTGTTCTGTGCGCCCATCAAGCCAGTCTTCGTGGCCCAAACGTAGGCCACTAAATAATGGTCCAGCTTCTCCATTGGAAGGCTCATGCTCTCCTGACGAGATCGTTCTTCCACGATTCCAGTCATGTCATGAGATCGTAACCGGATGGGATCTGATTGGCACAGTCGTCCCAACAACAGTGGCTTCCAAAAACAGGAAGTCTGATGTATGATACAAAGAAATGGTCCAGTCATCCATTTGCCTGCGAACGTGGGTCGTTTCATGCTTGGGTTGGCAAATCGATCGCAATCCGTGAATCGCTCATGTTACTCTGAGACTACAAAAGGATTTCTGATATGTGTACAACTGTGTATACATAAATATGTATATATATATATAATCAACTACTGACACAATTGTATAATATATAGGATTATAGTTATAATGGATTATATAGGTATGGTCTGAGTCAGTTCCGAAGGGGAGTATCCAGAAAAAGGGGAATTCGCTCACCAAGAGTTCTCCTGAGATTGCGAATCCTGATTCCAAATCTACTTTCCAGAAGCCAAAAATCGTGTATCTATTGGGATTCCTTTCAGTCCTGAGTCGCAAGCAAAGATTGTCTGGCACTGGAATCTAGGGCTTCAAAACCAAACATGCAATGTTCCACACCCAGGACTGCACCCCACACTTTCCAAAACACCCACTCCGCACCCGCCAACGGCCTTCTGCACCCCTTTTGATGGGCTGAACCACTGGAAACACCACACACAGGTCTTTGATGCCTCGCCACTGACGATGCACAAGAGAACCCTTAAACTTTCCACCCGAGGGGGTTCCAGCAAGAAACTAGGTGCCCACCACTTGAACATGATCCCCACCTATCTTCTATGGGCAAAGCTTCTCAAACCTTAGTGCACAAGGATGAGCCTGCGACCACCTGTCATGCCGTCACTGTCAACCGTCCTCGAAGGATGCGACCAGATTTTGTCGAATGCCATCGCCCACCTGGAAGGAGCGGCGTCCACTGTTTGAAGGCCAGCGAGATCTCTAAAAAAGGTGTGCACTGGTGAGAGTGCATGGATGGGCGATGGGCACATAGCAACAACCACGTAGCAACCACAAGTCGGTTTGGAAAAAGATTCATCAACCGTGTGAGTGCTACGAACCACAAGTCCACAAGTTGTTTACAAAAGCCAAGTGTTTGTGCTTCGAGATTCGTAGCTTAGTCAAACCTCTGAAACTGACTGGAAAAGAAGAAGGAGAGGAAAGGGCGAGAAACACAATCAGTTTACTCATGGATGCTCAACCTTCTGTCCATATCGGCATTCCACGTGTCACGTTAACATCTACGGCGTCTACGTTCATTTTTCTCTGTCTGAACCGTAGAAGTCCGAATCACCACAGAGTCTCGAATCACTCGAATAAGCTGTTGATCCTCGTCTGAGTCTGGCTGGATCTTGGCAGATGGTCGTGTCACAGGTCTGGGAAAACAAAGAAACAAAAAACAAGCAGTATGTATCGTCCTGTATCGTCCTGTAACAGGTCAGTTGCAGCTTTTTTTCGTCCTGTATCTCTCTGGTCAAATACACGCTGCAACTCTTTACGAAAGCGAGAGTGTTTCAATAGGTGGAGAATCCGAACTCTTACGTGCGGACCGCGAGGACGAGGTCCGCAGACGCGGACCCGGCGAGCGTTGCGGACCTTGTGGCCGTCCAAAGGCTCAACCCCGGCAAGAACGCAGGTTCACACGCATGATCTCAAAGAATCCGACTGCTTGGTGGGGATGTTCAAAAAAAACTAGCAACAATCATTGCAAAATACCTCGCAACCAATTCAATATATTCAGTCACATCATTTCATTAAAATAAGACAGTGTGTGTGTGTGTGTGCAAATATGTTACATTACACAAATATGAACGGCTCTTGAAACAGGAAGGGCAGTTCTTCGACTTCCTCTAGAGAACTTGAACGCCGTCTTTCCGCATGGTCTCCCCATGGTCTCCCGCCTGCAGTCCAGGTTCATAGGCGCGTTGCGCCTCGCTTTTCAGCTCTGTGATGACACGACTTGGATGTTTCAACTGCTTGGGGCTTGGGAAATCTGGGATGAAACTAATTGTTTGTCTATGTTTGTCTGTTCGTCGTTTCAGTGTTTTGTTGTCCCAGGTGTTTGTTCCCAGGTGTTTGGTACAATTTCTACTACACTATCTATTATGTGGGGGCCCCATCTCGTTTAGACTACTTAAGTAGGAGGTCAGACCACAGTATCTTGTTCAGACTATACTTTTGTGGCAAATCGCACTATCTCGTTCAGACTGCTTTAGTGTCATCAAGCAAAAGTATCGTTGACGTGGGGGCCCTATCTCGTTCACAAGCGAATACTGATGATAGACAAGAAAATAAAGCATGCCGTAGACTACTTTAGTAAAGATAGTAAAGCCTTCAAAAAAGGGGTTGCTCATGTCTTCTTGCCGCCAGTGCCAGCGACGACGCCCCGCCTGGGAGACCAGGTAGTGTCCCTCGACGCTTTGGAGCGGCGGATCGCGTGGGAGCGGGATATGATCGGGCTCCTGGCCGTTCCAGTCGAAACCGCCAACCCCCCCAAAACCCCGAGAATCTTCGGAGTCGCCCAAGCCACCAGTCTTGATCTTCGGCTATTTGGGCGAGATCCCAGACATTGATCTTTGATGGGCGGATGTTCCGCCGGCCCTGGGGCACGGCGTGTTTTGGGTAGTTGGGCTTTTGTTAATTCTTTGTTAAGCTATGTCTTGTCTGTTTTTGTGCTCCCCCGGGCGGATTTTTGAACGGTCTAACCTGACCCCCGCCCTACCCCCCCTCCCCCCCCAAGAATATCCCGAACGTATGTAGCTCACATATATCATAGCTAAAGTGAAAGGTTGTGTGCGCTTCCTTCTTATCGTCGTTCTTCTCTTGTCGTTGTCCATGCATTGCGCTTCTGCTTTGCATGTGTTTTTCTCAGGTTTTGCACCTGCACTCACGTATCTATCGTTTTTGCAGACTCAGACTGCTTGGAAATCCCCAAGCCACACATGTCCTCATTACTCTCTTGTGTCATGTCTGACGGAATGCTATGTACCTTTGCTGCTTCGCACGGTCTACTTCGCTCATTGTGTCACATGTCATATAATTTGTCTTCTTGTTGGCAGGCTATACTTTGCATCCCCCAATTTCATCTCCCTGTTCTCTTATTGTATCATAATGCACGTAATTTCATGTAGGCTCCTCTGTTGCTCCAGCTGTGTTCTGGATGATGCTGTTACTTTTTCTGCTCTGTTGCAGTCTTTCCTCTTGACGCAAAAGGTAATCCGCATCTTGGGACCATTGGCTGAAAAGGCCGGCGGAACAACCCGCAGGGTGTACATATAGAAGAAAAGGATATTGTTGGCCAAAGAGTCAGGAGTTTGATTAACCTCGACCAACCTGGCAGTATCGATGGACACCACAAATGCGAACAGTCAGAGCCAGGGTCCCTTCATCATCTTCAATAAACTTGTCAGCAGGCCAGACACAGTGGGGACAGATTTTTTGGAAAACAAAACAGCATGGACAGCCGGAGTGAAGTAGCATGAAATAGCTTTCCAATCAAAGCCAAATCCCTTGCGAAAGTCCTGAAATTCCAACACATCAATCCTGCTGATCTCTCTTGGTGCGCATGAAGTTTCCTGGACCCTCTGTTTTGACTGTTCAAGCCAAGCTTAAAGACAATTATTATATAAAACAAACAATAACACAAACTCCAACATCTTAGGTCAGTTGCTCAATCTTGGTGTTCAAAGATCTGTCTAGAGTCTAGAACATGAGTGACACCTGCTCTGGAGGCATTCACCAGCGCTCACGCTTCTTTGATCCTCTCCTCGGAACGGGGATGCAAGGAGACGAAGTACTTCAGCGACTCAAACCAGCCTGGCCATGCCAATGGCTGCCAATTCTCCGAATGGGTGCCTGAAACTCCACCGGTTGCCCTGGTTTCCATGCAGCTCAAAGAGGCCTGGTTTTAGATCCGGCGCGTCGGGATGTAACTCCAACTCCTCCAGCTCCACCTCGATCAGGTGCGGCCGCGCCTGAAACGTGGCGGCTGGGCAGGCAAGCGTGGAGGGCTCCAGGGCCGAGCAGGAGGGCTCAAGGGGGGAGATGGTGGGAAACATTCTTGCATAATTTTGAGTGCAGGCAGCACAAGTACAAATTCAATGTTCATTTGGGGTCCAAAGAAAAAGAAACATCAGGAGTTCACTTTCTGTTTTGAACATGTTCGGGGGAGCCTGAGTTCTGAAGAAGTAGTTTTTCTATTTTTATCTACGTCATGAGTCTTTGGAAGTACCGGTTTCCTGTTTTAGTGGCAATGGTTGATTTGCTGGGTGAGATTGGGGTGTATACTATTTGCACTTAGATAACTGGTGCGCAAGATCATATGGATGCATGTTCATTCATGCACACAAACTCTTGATTTTCACGAGCTAGGGCGCTTTGAGGAAAATACGTTACACATATATGCAAACATGCGCTTTTTACAAGGAAATCGCATGTCAGCATACTGTCGCAAAACGCGGCACACGATGAAACTGGCCTGGAGGTGTCTCCCTAAGCATCATTTCTGCTACGTAGATTCGATGTCTTTATAGTGAATGATGTCAGGATACTTAGCAGGTTTCTTGTTTTCCCACGTTTTCAGCGGACCCACAACTGTGGCACACGCGTTTCTTTCAGTCTTCTCGCAACATTCTTCACTGTCTAAAGGAGATTGGAGCCACTTCCCGCTGCACACACTCCATCTTAGGTCTTTGACCACGTTTGCAACAGCACTTCGTTCACAAACGCTTCCGCACTGCCCATGTTGTCAGAATGGCTCGCAGTCGACAGGCAGTGCCCAAGCCAGGATTCACCCGTGCCACTGCATCCAGTCTTCATTCACATGACTTCTAATGAACTGGCTGAACCATATCAAACCAAGTTTGTCTTAGCCCAAGGGGGCCACCTTTGTTTCTGTTGATGCCTTCGCTGCAACGCGCGTGGGTTGCAATCTGCTTGTTGAGGACCCGCAGATCGCACGCAAATCACCAAGACACAACACTTCACGACATCCTTCTAAGATCACCCATCTCAATATCTCCACCACCAATACCATCCTCATCCCATATCAACTCCCTTAAAAGATCCTTCACGCCGTCCTCGCGTGCCGCGGACCTCGATCTCGTGCCACGCGGGCGGCTTCTCGGAGCTCTTCGGCGGCGCCCGCGAGAGGCCGTCGCCCATGTCCTTGCGAGGAGCGGGCGAAGGCGAGTGGTGGAGGGACTGGTGGAGGGACTGGCGGAAGAGTCAGGAAGCCTTTTTGATTGATGGACACCTCTCAGTCTCTCAGTATGTAATCTAAGAGAGTCATGGGTACGTGAGGTTACACTCATTCCAAAGAAATGATTTGATTGGCAAGTTCAAAGTGCTTGGATCAATCCTCCAGATTCATGCTGCCAAACCCAGATGGGAGCCTTGTCAAATCTCTAGCCTCCAGGACCTAAGAATTTCCTGCAAACAGAACTGGAGAACTTCGCTATAGAGTTCAGCAATTAGTTGGACCATGTGGCCGCGTTTCTGTTTTTTCAACATTCTGGTTTTGGGGGTGGGAGCGGCTGGGGTGGGCACAATTACATTTCTGTTCACTAGCCATCGGCACAGTTTGCTTTTGCAGCCAAAACACAGGAAGTTTGTTTTCCGGAGAACAGAAGAGTTGGTTTGAATATATGTAACTATGTATATTTTTGGGGGGGGGGAATCGTCTAGTAACTATATAGTTTTGTTTCTTTGGCAAACGAAACGGTGGAAGATCCCAGTTTGGTTTTGTTGGAGGATCGGGAACCGAGTGGCTTTCCGGGAAGAGAACATGTTGTTGTTGTTGCTGTTTCAAGGAAGAGAAGAGTGAGAAGAGAGTTCTTTGGGGGACTGAAGCACTGAAAAAACGATCACAATAACCTAGTTAGCCCCCAGAGCGATCGTTGCGGACAGAAAAAAAGGCGGTACTGGAATCAGCATGTACGCGATTCCATTGGGGAGTCGGCCGGCTCGTTGTGGGACCTCACTTTGTCGGCCGTCGCACGTTGACAGCAGCTGTGCGGAGTTTGGCGTTGGTGGCGCGATCGGTGGTTCCTCCTTGACCTGTTCGTGTTCGACAGTGTGCCCAAAAGCCACAACAAAAAAGGTTCGATTGGCGTTTCGGAAGCACTCGTTGCACGTGGCGCGGGAAATCATGTCACGCAACAGTCCGCGCACAGCCATCTATGGCGCGCAGACCTAGGACCTAGTTAGCTGTGAGTACACCCCCTCGCAGCAGAAGCATTGAGTAGGCCACCAGTGGTTTCGTTCCCCTTAGAAACACTCGAACAATGCAGCGAGTTGGTACTCATGCAGCCTCCGTTACCCAAACACTCCATGTATGCCATATAGCCTACGTACATTGACCCCCAAAACCACCCCAACTGATCGGCATATATGCCAGTCCCATTAGTCGTGTCTGGGTGTTAGTTTCTCAGTTGGCCATGCGGCAAATGAAAAAAGGGTAGTTCACCCGGGAGCACAGCCCGGCCGACACGCCCTCGACCCGACCTCTCCTCAATCCGATGAGGGATCGGTACATGATCATCGTCAGGTTCCTTAACGAGACTGGACCGGGCAGAAGTTGAACCGATCAGTGGTATTTAGTGTATAGTGTGTTTGGGATTGACTTAGTGTATATTATACTGTAGTGCATCTATATATAAAGTACTATTTAGTGTTGGGATTATAGGGAGGGCTCACGCTTACACTTCCACAGAATCATGGAAGTGGTTTTCACCCATGGAAACACCGGAGGACAATTGTTTTGCAAGGCAAGGGGCCATGCATGGCCATGCCATCCGGCGGAAACTGAGAAGTTTGGGATTCGAGTGTGTGAGAATTGTAGGTTCTGGCACTGAAATGGGAGAAACTTTCAAGACTCAACCGCCGGAGAAAAGGATTTCAGGAGTTCCAAAACTGAATCTCTTTGCTGAACCAAATCTAAATGAGGTAGGGTATGGTAATGCCAAACAGGCCAAAAACAGGCCAAACCCTTCTCTTAATTTACAATCCCAAGCCAATCCGACAATTGCTTCCAGGTGTTTGCCAAATGCCTTCACCGACAGTACGTAGGCAAATCATCAATACAGTAGAATCCCACACCCTGCCAGGATCGTACTCTGTGAATCAACAGAATTAAGGACCGCCGTGCCGCAAACGCTCCAAGGCTGCGTGTGTGGAAAAATCATGAAAGATCTGCATCACTTGGTGGTGGTTGCACCCATGATTGAGGTGTTAACCCATGTGCCTGACATCTGACGTTTCATGTTTCTGTGAATCCACAAAAGCACCAACGACACAGCTGCAATAGTCGGACTTTAAAGCATTCCCTCAATCCAAGGGCTTGAAAAATGCATACTTCACCTATACCACGAACCATTGTTTATGGCAAGGTTCCGGCAGAACCGGCATTGACTGCGGTGGTGGCACCGTCTGTTGCGGCGGCACCGTCTGTGGCGGTGGCATCGTCTGCGGCGGCCGCATCGACTGTGGGTGCAACGGCCTTCGTAGCGAGCGATAGCCAGTGGGCAATACAGTTGTCTGTTGGCCCTCTTGCAAAACCAAGGTGAGGAGAGTGAGGAGTCCTGGAAATGGACATAAATATCCGCCGACCCCAGCTGATGGTGTATATATATACATATATGCAAGCATCATTATACAATATATATATATATACATGTATCCCAAAATAAAAAATTGACCTTACTCTTTTGATCAAATTGCTTACGCTCTCCAAGGCTTCAAGCACCCAAGATCTCCACCTTTGATCAGTGAATCCTAACCCGTGATCAAATTCAAGAGATGTTTTTACCAGTTTTTACCATGGAACCCTGGCCCGAAGAGCTTTCAGTCTTCCGTATGGGCGAGCTTGGCCTTTTCTCGCGTCATTAAGTGCTCTCAGCTGGATGTGCTGTGTTGCTGACAACCGATTTATTGGCTTCATTGTTTGATTCCGAGAAGAAAACACCAACACAAAAAGAAACACAGCAAAAGACACATACTTGGACAGGAACAAGAAAATATTTACGCAAATGTTATGCCATTATTTAACTATACCATCATGGACTCATGGACCACCTATGACAAGTCTAACTGTGCTCTTTTTTCTGCCAAGTGGCATGGTGGCAGGTCGCATGGATGGCATGGATGCAGGGTGCATGGATGCAGGGTGCATAGATGCAGGGTGCATAGATGCAGGGTGCATGGATGCAGGGTGCATAGATGCAGGGTGCATGGATGCAGGGTGCAAAGCAGAGGCTGTCTGCAGCGGCTGAGGTGGGTAGCTTCTCCCCGCCTGCACAATGCACGATCCACGGTGGACGTGCGCAAAGAAGGGAACCCGTCCACCCTTTTTTGCACGTTCACATCCGGAATCCCAATCCACTGTCGAGATGGGCACCTGCCAAATGACCCCAAAAACAGCGTGGTAAAAAGCATCCCCAATATCATCTGAACGATTGATGTGAAAGGGGAAGGTCTGGCGAATTGATCGGATGGATGTCCTATGGATCCCTCGATCTTGCCTGGATCTGTCGCGGCTCAACAGGCACGAGCCGGCTCGGGGCATATGCCTCCTGGTGAATGGCCAGCGGTTAAATCGTGGAGCTGGCAACACGCATCATTCTTATTTTGGTTTTGCGCCGCACAGACTATGGTCGGAAAAAGGTCTGATTGTACAAAGTCTGATCACGATTCGTGCTGCGATGAATCGTGTCTTCTCGAAGGTCGAAAAACGTGAGAAAAGGCCGCGGTTCCTTTTTGAGACTGCATGGCTCAGCGATCGACTTCGGGGAGAAACGTGGGGCGGTTTGTGCCCAGACATCATGGTGGGTGATCAAGGTGCTAGGACGACATCTTTCACACTGGTCTTGTTTTTGCGATCATCCACCAGTTGGGCCCATGGGCGTTGCAGCCACTGCCTGAATCTGTCGCAAAGATTCAAGTCTATCTTCGTCAAGCAGTCTGAGTGCTGCAGGTGCGTAGGCACCCACCTTATTGCCTTTGGCAAAAAGGTCTCCTGAACACTGCGTACTTGCACCATGCTACTCTTGTCTGTCAAGGCCGGGTTTTCGGCCGTCAAGACATCATACAGCGATTTGGCGTCTGTGCAAATCAGCGAAGCCAGGCGCTGCTCGCCTTTGAAAGCTGGTACTAGGTGAAAAAGTTCTGTCAAAAAGTGGTTGACAAAACATGACCTATCGGTGGCCTCATCGGCCGCACAGGCCTCACTCGCAAGGGTGCTGCGGCACACTCGGGCGCTACGCCCGCTTTTCCAGAGCCGTACGTGGTGACCTCAGTCACTGCAGCGGGGCATGCCATCACCACGACGCCATACTGCGAGGCAAAGGTGGACGCGTTCGCCCAGCTGCTTTCCGAGAAAGTGACCAACGTTGTCCCGTTCCCAAAAGAAACTCCAGGGAAGGTTATGCCGTCAGAGTCCGTTGCACGGGCATAATCCACAGCTTCGTACAGCTTTTAAACAGATCTGTGACATCAGTGGAAGAGCCACGATGGCAGAGCGAAGCTGTCGAACTCAAATCCGGCCTCGACTGACCTGCTAGCCATTGGATGGAGCCGCAAACGCTCCTGAACTCCTGCATCTCCTCAACACTCATCTTCAAGCTCTGCTGCAACCTGCCGGTTTTGAGGTGACCGGGGGCCATGTTCTTGATGAACTTGCTTTGCGACACCTTGTAGATGAAGCGGCCATCTTGCAGGTGCATGGTGATTTCCTTTCCACGATACTCGCCAGGGGTGTTGACATCAACACGAGTCTGGGAACCCCAGCTGAACAAGCTTGTCAGGCGCTCTGCATCAAAGGACTCACTGTAGGCCGCCATGAAATCGTCCACACGCACGATCAGCGCAAAGGAGTGCTTCTTGAATCCAGCCCTGCACAGGGTACTGACCACACTCGAGGGGCATTGGCAAGGCCGTAGCAATTGCCTACAATCTCGTAAAGAGGTGCTGGGTAGGCGTTTGCTGCCTCCAAGGTCGGATCTCTCGGGGGTGCCATGTTTGGCGGCTGGTTGCCACGTTCGGTCTTGTCCTGAACGCCTTGTAGGAAGGCCTTTTCAGCGTCTGAAAGCCACAGATGCCACTGAAGCCCATCCTCTTGGAAGGCGCGGTTTGCGCCAGAAGCTGCAATGGCAAGGATCACAAACTCGCTGAGGCGAGTTGGAGTTGGAGAGTCTCGTGTGAGACGTGTCAAATCTGGGTCGTTGCATACGATCAAGACTACTCGAGTCTTAGCCTGGATGATGCCAGGCGCTTTGCTTTTGTTCTTGTAGGCTGCCCTGCTTTTCATGACTCTGCGTCGGAGAACGGGGTCAGCCCACACAGCATCGGCTTCCTTCTGAGACAGCGGAAGGATTCCGCTCCATGTCATCCAGCCTGTGTATTCATTCACGGCTGACTGGGTGAACTTCTCCCTTGCCATTAAGGGAAGTGCCATCACCTCACGCCATGGCAGCTCTCTGTCAAGCTGCTTGAGCTCTTGGCGGGTGAGCTTCCGCTCGTTGGAGATCGACAGATCTTCGTCAGAGCTGCCATGGTCTGGTCGTGTGGCTCTGTTGCTGGATCTCCAGCTGCCGTGCTTTGCTTGTTAAGTATGCTTTGTATGCTTGGCTGAATGTTGGTACTGGGCTCCTTGCTGGGCACGTGCCATCCCAGTATTTGTCTCGGAGTGTTGCCGTGTTATCATCATAGATGTCGTAGTAGGTGAGGAGAGTGCGCAGTGCCTCAATGTCGTCGCCTGGTCTCTTCTGACCGGTTGGCGGTGCAGTGGACATTGGTTGTTCTGCTGGTTCAGCTTGCTGTACCCCCTGTGCCGGAGGCGGCTCTGCGGCTGCCGGCGCTGCTTCTGCTGTTGCTTGTACTGGAAGCTGCAAGGGAGTGTCAGACCTGCTGGTCTTGGTTTTGCCTGTGGACCGGATGTCTCGACAGGCGTCTGTGGTGCTCTGTTCGGTGTTCGGGATCGGCCTCGATGAGGTCGCGCCGTTGGTGGTACAGGTCCAAAGGACAGGTTGGGTCCGTATCGCTGGTATGTCGGTGAGTCGATGTTGATCTGTATCTGAATCTGCTGTTGGCCAATGTTGTGCTGGTTGGCCTGTTGGTTGACCTCTTGTGAGGTCTGGATGTTCATGGTTCATCCCTGCCTGTTGCCGGTGCGGTTGGCTGAGCGGCGATCGAACGCGCCACTTCGCCTGGTGGTATCGGCATTGTCAGAGGTGTCATCGGTGCGAGTTCACCTGGTGTCATTGCTGCTGCAGCGGCTGTGTCAAGGTGTTCTGTTGTGGCCTCTGGCTGGGCCAGGTGTGTGTGTCTTGCCACAGTGCTGGTGTGTTTGGTGCTCCATGTTGCTCCAACAGGTCTGCATCTGCTGTTACGTGTTGTTCCCTTGTTTGGGTCGTCTTCGATTGCGTCACCCCAAAGACCTGTTGCTATGTTTGCTCTTGCGTCCTTGAGGAGCTCAATGTCTTCGGTGCTTGGTGTCCAACTTTCCCAGCCGACTGCGCTGCGAAGTTGTGTAGCGCCGACCCGAAGTGAGGTCTTACCGACCTGGATCCAGCATGTCTTCTTGTCTGGATCGTGAGCCAAGAGACGGCCCAGACACCAGCCGCCTTTCTTGCGTTGGCGCGACCTTGCGCTCCATCGCCAGAAAGCTACTGCTTGTCCTGCTTGTAGGTTGCTGACGTCTCGTTGTGTTCGTGTCTTGCGAAGCAATGCACGGTTCACAGACTGTGAGGCTGTTGTCTGCATCAGTGCTGCTACCGCTTCTGCTCGTAGGAGTTCGGGTCGAAGTAGTGAGGTGTCTGTCTCTTGAAATGGCCAGTGACATGTCATCGGAAATGATGTCTCCGATGGCCCAAAGCATCCGAGATTGAAAAAATTCAATCGCTATTGATTTTTTCAATCGAAGATTGAATGTGCAAAATTCAATCGAATTTTTGTTTTTTCAATCGAATTTATGCTTTTGAAATTCAATCGAAATTGGTTTTAAAATTCAATCGTTTTTGCACTGGTTTTCTACTTGTTTGTGTCATTTTTGGCATGCATGAGGTCTTCTCTGGGGCTGTCAAGCCCACAAGTGCAACTCTATAGGGCTGTCCAGCCCACAAGCTTGTACTTATGGAAACAAGTTAAGGCTGTCCAGCCTAGTCTGCAGCCCATGGCAATCCAACTTGCAATGCAGCAAGGCAATGTTTTCTCACTCTTCTGCAGAGTCGATGATGTCCAGATTTCTGTACCCCTTGAGGAGTAGATGAAAGACCAGCCTGAATTTCATCAGCACCTTTCCAGTCACTTTGTGAGCTGGTGTGCCCCAAGTGCAGCTGGATGATATCTGCTTTATGATGCCCATAAAGCTCTCTGAGCCATAGCACCATGTGCTGGCTGGATGGATATGATGGGCTTGTGCCAAAAGGTGATTCAATTTGTGGTGCTTCTGCACCAGAGAATATCGATGCAAACCTTTTTCAAAGGCATCATTGGCAAGCCACGAGTAGTGTGCAAGGAGAACTTGTCCTGCCCTTTCCAGGGCAATACCACATTCTGGAGACCACTCTTTCCAATTCTTGCCCAGCAGTGTGTAGATTCTCTGCAACTCCTCCAGCATTGCAACTCTGTGTTTCCCTGCCCTGTCATCTGCATGGAGCTTACTCAGCTCCAAAGCCACTGGGGCGAAGTGTCGAATCTTGTTCCCCTTGATGTGCTTGAGCACAGGGTACTCCTCTGCAGATGATGCCACATCATTGAGGGTCAGGTGCTTGATTCTTTTGGCAGCTTCTATGCCCAACTTGCCATACATCTCAGCAATCTTCTTGTTCAGAAGCTGCATCTTGGCTTCTCCTGGGCTTTCAGAGTGACTAGGGCCTAGGGCTGTCCAGCCCATAGATCTAGCCAGGGCTGTCCAGCCCACATGCAACATGGGAGGCTGTCCAGCCAGCCTACATGCAACTAGGGCTGTCCAGCCCAAAGCAAAGAAGGTGTCCAAGCTTCTAGAGGTCCCTCCAAGTTTGTCCATGATGTCAATGAGGACGCTCCCATGCAGGTAAGCAGCAACACCCAGGTCGAGAACATGTAAAATGTCCAATTTGATTGCCAGAGGTGAGCAAGCTGGCACCTTGAAGAGTGGGTGGGTGCCATATTCCTTTTGCAGGAGTTTTGGGGAGAGGATGGAGGACCTCCAAGCAGCGGTTGGCCTGCAGTCTGTAAAAGGCCTTTCACTGCCTGTCTTCTTCTGGTCTGCCAAGCAGTATGCACAAATCATATTGTTTGAGCTGTATGGGAAGCCAAATTCTGATGCGAACCATTCCAGGTCACCAGTGATTGCCCACAAAACTCCCCTTCTCAGGGGTCTGCCCTTCACTCCATCCATGGGCACTCCAGAATGGTTCTTCTTTGGTGCTTTGCCTTCATAGAGCGAAGTGAAGGACCAAGCCATGCATTCCATGATGGTGTTGAATGTTTCCTTGCTGACTGCTGCTTTTGGTATTGCAGCTAGAAGGAGCTGGCTGTCTCCCACAGGCATTGATGTCAAAAGGCATCTAAAGGAAAGGACTTGTATGGAATCAGTCTCTGTGAAGGGTGCTCCATCACCATGCAAACACCATGGAATGGGG